CAGTAAAACGATCTCCCGATGCTGAGAACCAGATGAAACCCAGGCCTCTGGAGGGGCGATACCAGAAAACGGCCCCTCGTTCCGAAGGCACGTCACCCTCTGTGCCTCCCACCCTGAATGGCCATACACCTTTGGCGTGAGGAAGTGGGGAGTGGTCGGCAAACTGCGGCTCATGAGCCACATGCGGCTCTTTGGCCCCTTGAGTGTGGCTCTTCCACAAAATGCCACGTGCGGGCGCGCACGTACAGTGCGATTGAAACTTTGTGGCCCATGTGCAGAAGTCGGTTTTCGGCCTGGGCGAGTCTGTTTTGAAGAAGTGGCGTTAGAAGAAGTGGGGGTACGTTCGCTGAGGTCGACCCCTCAGATTGAGGACGTTTTTAGCAAAGGCCAGCTCAGGAGCACCCTAATTAAGTTAATAACAATGTACCTACCTATATAGTTTAAAAAATGTGGCTCTCAAAAGAAATTTCAATCGTTGTCCTGTTGATATTTGGCTCTGTTGACTAATGAGTTTGCCGACCACTGGCCTAGGGCGTCACATCCAATGGCAAGGCCGGTCCGCACCCGGCCATGTGTCAGCAGGCAGGGCGCCAGGCCTGATGGAAGAAGTGTGTGTGTAGGGGCGAGGCCCCCCCACAGCTGGCCCCCGGCGGCCAGAGCGGGGGTCCCGGGATCCCTCTGAGGTTGACCCCAAGGGATGATCATCATGACTCCCGTCTTCCCTCCCCTCCGGACCTCGTTTCTCTTTCCTGCTCGTGCGTTTAACTTCAGCATCCTCACCTTTCGAATGCGGAAGGCGTTTCCTCAGGCAAGATCGTGAAATGATTTCCCATCTCGTCGATGAAACCAAGGCGCCCTCGTCCGAGAGGCCCTAATTAGGAGCCCGCAAGCACATTGGTGACCGTATCATGCCTGCGTGCATTCCCCCGCGAATTGTGTGTGTTTCAACCCATGACACGCCTTTTATCATGGTTTGATCTCAAACACTGCTGTTGATTTCAGAGAGAGAGAATCATTGATCGGCTGCCTCCTGCACGCCCCCTACTGGGAATTGAGCCCACAACCCAGGCATGTGCCCTCAGCCAGAATCGAACCTGGGACCCTTCAGTCCGCAGGCTGACACTCTATCCACTGAGCCAAGCTGGCCAGGGCTGCTACATGTTTTGAGTTCTCGATATAATAGCCCCCGTCCCAAACTTCAACTTAAAACAAAGGTGAGCCACCTAATCAAGAGAGAATCACAGATCAGCTGCCTCCTGCGCGCCCCCTACTGGGGATGAAGCTCATAACCTGGGCATGTGCCCCAACTGGGAATCAAACCGTGACCTCCCGGTTCATGGGTTGATGCTCAACTGCACTGACTGGGCTTACAGAAACTATTCACTGTTGGTTGGTCACACTGGTAATCACGCTGGTCTGTTGTGGTCCATCCAGAGTTTTAAATGCCCGGCCGGTGTGGCTCAGTGGACGATGACTGTGCCAGTATATAAGTAAAAGCCCTAAATATTTCTTCATACGCCTTGTACTTGAGCGATCTCTTTTTTCTTGCAACCAAATGCATGCAGCGCTCGCCAATTATACGCATTAAGTTCCTTTTTTGATGTTTTGCCCGGGATTACATTTTGCTAAGATCTTTTTTAGACACAAATTGGCCATGTAACATAATAACTGCTTGTCCCGGCTTCGCGACACCTGAAAATTCCATCAACATGAGCCCATGTGGTGTATGTAATTAAGGAACACGGATTTAGTGCCCGGATTCTAATTAGAACACGGCTTAAAATCTAATCCCGCCGCAGACCGGGTGTGTAGCATTTGGAATGCCCCTTACATTTTTTCCCATGTTGCTTTTTTTTAAAAAAAATTAATACATTTTTATTGATTTCAGAGAGGAAGAGAGAGAGAAACATCAATGATGAGAGAGAATCATTCATGGGTGCCTCCTGCACACCCCCTCCTGGGAATTGAGCCCACAACCCAGGCATGTGCCCTGACTGGGAATCGAACCTGTGACCTCCTGGTTTATAGGTTGACGCTCAACCACGGAGCCACCCTGGCCTGGGCCCATCTTGCTTTTCACATCAGTAGTCTGGGTATAACAATAACTTAGGGAGATGACAGTGAAGATGAGGAGTAAGTCGTGTTTTGTGTCAGACACTATACTAAGTGCTTTATTTAGACACTAGAGGCCCGATGCACGAAATTCGTGCATGGGTAAGGTACCTAGGCCTGGCCAGCGATCAGGACCCATCTGTGGGGTGACCGGCAGGGCAATGGGAGGGCCCCCACTGCACCTGCCTTGGTTGGCCTGGGTCTTGCGGGCTGGGAGCAGCTCCTGTGTTGAGCATCTGCCCCGAGGTGGTCAGTGAGTGTCATAACAGTCGTTCCACTGGTGGTTCTGCTGTTCAGTCGATTTGCATATTAGGCTGTTATTATATAGGCCTGGTGCACGAAATTTGTGCATGGGGAGGGGGTTCCCTCAGCCCGGCCTGCACGCTCTCCAATCTGGGACCCCTTGGGGGTGTTTGACGGCAGTCGGACATTTGTCTCACAATCCGGTACTGTTGGCTTCTAACTGCTCACCTGCCTGCCTGCATGATTGCCCCCTAAGCGCTCTCCTGCCAGCCTGATTGACACCTAACTGCTCCCCTGCCAGCCTGATTGCCCACAATTGCCCCCCCCCCCCCCTGCTGGCCTGGTCACCCACAACTGCCCACCCCTGCTGGCCTGATCGCCAACAACTGCCCTCCCTTGCCGGCCATCTTGTGGCAGCCATCTTGTGGCAACGTTACGCGAGGGTGTGACACTACCTAGGCTTTTATTATATAGGATATGCTCAGAAAGGTACACTCATCATCCCCATCCCCTTTCTGATGACTACACTAAAGTTTAAAAAGAATAAATCACTTACCCAAAACACCGTCGATAAATGACGGAACTAACTTACAGAAATGCTAAAGGCTGCCTGGCTGGCGTGACTCAGTGGTTGAGCGTTGACCTATGAACCAGGAGGTCACGGTTCGATTCCCGGTCAGGGCACATTCCCGGGTTGTGGGCCTGATCCGCAGTAGGGGGCGTGCAGGAGGCAGCCGATCCATGTTTCTCTCCCATCGTTGATGTCTCTCTCTCTCTCTCTTCCTCTCTGAAATCAATAAAAAATCTATTTTAAAAAAGAAAGGATGAATGAAGAACGGATGTGATCCAATAGATGGACTTTGCTACGTGTGTTGAGTTTTCGATATAATAGCCCCCGTCTCAAACTTCAAGTTAAAACAAAGGAGAGCCGCCTAATCAACAGGTTATCTAATTAATAACACGATGATACATTTAATATGAAAATATCCGATGACGCCTCCTAACCACAGGGTTCAAAGTCCTCTGAAAAGAGTCTCTTCTCATTTACATTCAGGGAGCGCGGACATAAGAGAGGGAATTGTTGCTTCGTTTTAAAAATAGAAACCTGGGAGGCTGCTCCATTGGAGTGCAGGCATGGCAGAGAATATTAAAACACCGACTGGAGCCCGGCCGGCATAGCTCAGGGGTTGAGCGTTGACCAACTTATGGACCAGGAGGTCGCTGGTTCGATTCCCGGTCGGGGCACATGCCCGGGTTGTGGGCTCGATCCCCAGTAGGGGGCGTGCAGGAGGCAGCCCATCCATGATCCTCATCGATGTTTCTCTCTCTCTCTCCTTTCCTCTTTGAAATCAATAAAAATATATTTCTGCAAAAATAAATTGGCTGGAGGAATGGAACCATCGCCCACTCCTCACTGTCAAGGAAGGGACTGGGGTCTGTGTTGTGGGGTTCACTCCATTTCAAAGACAGAGAACAAGCCCTGGCCGGTGTGGCTCAGTGGACAGTGCCTCGGCCTGCAGACTGAAGGGTCCTGGGTTTGATTCCAGTCAAGGGCACGTACCTTTGGTTGCAGGCTCCTGGCCCCGGTTGGGGGCACGCGCAGGAGGCAACCAATGGATGTGTCTCTCTCACATCCGTGTTTCTCTCTGTCGCTCCCTCTCCCTTCCACTCTCTCTAAAAATCAATGGGGAAAAAAATATCCTCGGGTGAGGATTTAAAAAATGGCTCCATTTGGGCGGATCGGTAGCTCCATGTCCAACACGCTCGTTGGCAGGTGCAGAGTGAGATCATTTTCATCACCTGTCACTCCTGGGCCCCCGCCCCCAGAGAGCTCACAGATTTCTACAAGCACAGGCATGTGTTGGTGCCAAGCGTCTCGGGGGCCGTCCCAGGAAGGGAGTGGGAGCCGACGCCGTGAGCTTTGACGCTGGCGAATCCCTGGTCTTCTTGGGGTTGAAGGGAAGTCAGCCAAGAGCCCTCTGTCCGTTTGCCCAGCACGTTCCAGAGGTCTATCCTGCCAGGACGTTCCCTTATTTATGCTCCTTTCGTGGGGCGGTGGGGAGGGCGGCGGACCCGTCTCCAGCTGCTCATGCAGCTGATAGAGCTGCAGGGAGGAGTGATGGATAGCAGCCCTTTCCCCCCACACTAGCGCCTGAGTCCCACGGCCACTCGCCTCGGGGAGCCGCACGGCCGTGCCCGCACCCCCGGGTGCCCTGGTGCCAGCAAGATGACAGACAGAGCCGCTGACGGAGATGAGCGCGGATGACAGAGAAACACGGCACGTATTTTCATCGGCAACGTCTACGCTCGGACCTATGCCCTGGCAGGGCACATGTCTGTCTACTCTACTCATTGTAAAATGTTCGCACGCCCATAGCAGGACAGGGCGGCGGCTCCGTAAGAGCTGGGGGTGCGTGTCCAGGGGGAATCCCCGCCGCTGGCTGGCCAGGGCAGAGGACTGACCAGCGAGATCGGCACAGACAGCTTCCAGGACCGATGCAGGCTGTGCTGCCCATGAGAGCAGTCACTGAGCTAGTTCTGCAAACTCAGGGAGCGGGGCCAGAGAGCCTCCCCCCCAACCCCAGCTCCCCGTTAGAGTGTACCGCGCAGGGCAGAAAGCGTGGGCACCCCGTGGCCTCACCTACCTGGTAGGGGCCCTGGTTGCAGCCGCAGTAGCTACTCTCCATGGTGTAGCTCCTGGTCACCCCCATCTCTCTCCACACAACCACCCGGGCGGTGGAGGCGCGAGATTTCTCCACCAGGAAACTGCAGCTGCTCATGGTGAAGGCGGGGGCGAGCTGGTCCAGGATTCTGGGAAGAGTCTACAGTAAAAAATAAATAAATAATAATAATAATAATAATAAATAAATGGCGATGAGCTGCAGGTGGTTGGGGGTAGGCATCGTAAAACCTGATGTCTCAACATCTCTTTCGCATCTCAGTATGTCAAACACAGAATGTATGCTGCTATGAATTCTGTATCAACCCTAAGAAATGGACATTATTTTCTTTTTAATTGATGTGAGAGAGGAAGGGAGAGGGAGAGAGAGAGAGAAACATCCATGATGAGAGAGAATCATCCCCCTGCTGGGGGATGGAGCCTGCAACCTGGGCATGTGCTCTTGATCGAATTGAACCTGGGACCCTTCTGTCCACAGGCCGATGCTCTATCCACTGAGCCACACCAGCCAGGGCTGGACACCATTTTTAAAGTCATTTTAAAGATGAGGCAATGGAGGCTTCGAGGTTCTTCCTTCTTTTCTTCATCTAGCTAAAGGGTGGTCACGTCTGCTAACTATTTCCAGAAGCCAAACATGGGTGCATTGATTGTCTATTGTTCGTACATTTTTGTTGTATAGATTTTGTTTGAGCTTTTTTCTTCTTCTTTCTATTGAGATAGGCCACTTCAGCTCTAGCCAGTTTGGCTCAGTGGATAGAGCGTCGGCCGGCAGACGGAAGGGTCCCGGGTTCGATTCCGGTCAAGGGCACATGCCGGGGTTGTGGGCTCGATCCTTAGTGGGGGGCGTGCAAGAGGCAACGGATCCATGATTCTCTCTCAACCCTGATGCTTCTAGCTCTCTCTCTCTATCTCTCGCTCTCGCTCTCCCTTCCTCTCTGAAATCGATAAAAATACATTTTTTAAAAAAGGAAAGACAGTCCACTTCAAACCTACCCTGTAGCTGACATCTTCGGAGACAGCAGGGGCACCCACGGCGGACTCCGCCTGCCACAGGGTCTCCTTGATGCTGCAGCCGTAGACAAACACGTTCTTCTTCTGGGAGGGGCCACTGGTGTCTTCAACGTTTAACGCAGGGGTCCTCAAACTACGACCCGCGGGCCACGGGCAAATACAAATATTGTATGTGTTCCCGTTTTGTTTTTTTACTTCAAAATAAGGTATGTGCAGTGTGCATAGGAATTTGTTCATAGTTTTTTTTTTAAACTATAGTCCGGCCCTCCAGCGGTCTGAGGGACAGTGAACTGGCCCCCTGTTTAAAAAGTTTGAGGACCCCTGGTTTAACGTGTCAACTTTTCTCCGGTCGATACTGTTTAGGCAGCAGAACCAGGCATATTAACATCACCGACGACGTCCGTAAGAGTTGTACGGGTCAAGTCCTGGGGGGAAAAGTTAGATTGGAAGGGGCTTAGCATTGAAGAGGGAATACACTCTGGTGGGAGAGGACACAGGGTTAAAACGAGAAGAGGGAATAGGAACAAAAGCTTTTTAAAAAAAAAACAACGATGAGAGCCCTGGCCGGTTTGGCTCAGTGGATAGAGCGTTGGCCCACAGACTGAAGGGTCCCGGGTTCGATTCCAGTCAAGGGCATGTACCTTGGTTGCGGGCACATCCCCAGTGGGGGGCGTGCAGGAGGCAGCTGATCGATGTTTCTCTCTCATCCATGTTTCTAACTTTCTATCCCTCTCCCTTCCTCTCTGTGAAAAATCAATAAAATATATATATTTTTTAAATTATGAGAGCCTGGCCGACGTGGCGTAGTGGTTGAGTGTCGACCTATGAACCAGAGCAAGAGAGATGCTAGTCTGATGAACAACAAGTCTGGATAACAACAGGAGCAAGGAAACTCTCTGAAAAAAGAATGAATTAGTGGAATTCTGGTATTGAACCTCCAAGACTCGTCTCTTCTTCCTGCCTCTCAGAATGCTGGCAGCCCTCCTCACCTTCTCCCTCCACATACACACCACACAAAACCACACCACACACACACACACACACACACAAATTGTTTGAGGAATAATTCTCCACCAACCTTCCTCTCTTGCCCCTAAGTTCCTCTCCATGAATTGAACACCTACCATTCACAGCACAAGTGTGCAAACAAATCAAGACTGTTTCTTAGCAACAGATTTCTCCAGGAAGCTGGAAGCTGTGCCTCTATGCTGACAGGTGCTCCTTTAAGGCTGAACTCAAACGGAAAGAAAGAGTTTTTGTGTGTGTGTTTGTCCCCATCCTCACAGACGGCTGAGAGCCGAGATAAATGACAAATGACAGGCCTATTTGCCCGCGGGAGAGACCGCCGCTCCGCCCTGGCAGGTCTAGCCGCCTCTGGAGAGGCAGACGCTGTTCTACGTGCGGATCAGATGACAGTCTCTAAAATAAGTGCCTGTTAATTATAACAAACATGTGTTCCTCTGCATGGAAAGGGGCAATTACAAGACAAATTACCAAGTTATTTCTGGGGAGAAAGTTTTTTTCTTTCCTACTGGAAGGTGGAACACATATTTCCTTTCTGTGAAGTTCTGTGCCGGGGACATCGAACGTGAGCAGTCCAATACCCACAGGTGAACCGATGGTCTTAGGTGGCTCATTCATCAACTGGTTCAACAAATATTTTTTTAAAAATATACTTTTTATTG